GTTTATTTTTAATGTTACGTGTGTATATTGCATTATAAATTGTTTAAATTCATGAACATAACCCGGCAGTTAGTTTAAGGCTTTGCGTCACTCTCGCTATTGACGCGTACGATTTAAAATAATATTATATAAATTGAAATGTACGAATCTTACTCACATATATGAAGCCGATTAGATCAGATCCATGTTATCCAAAATATCAAGTCAACTTATTCTCCTCAAACCTACATTATTCACGGCTTATCTACTAGCTTTCCACGAAAGTAACCCTTGCCCGTTATCTCTAAGACCGTTTTCCGCATTATAAAATTCCAATTTTCATCAGAAAAAAATAATTAATTATTTTAGATATTTTTTAAGAACTCTTAAATTTAAATCCATTGAATTGTAATAATTGGTATTTACATGACTCCTAATAACCTCGTGTAGTCTATTATATCATATCAAGATCACTTTAGCTTAGCGTTGAAATAATACATTAAATTAAACGAAACGTATAAACGGCACCTATAATGTTCAATATAAATATCAATTATTACGAACATCACTTCATAATATGTTAACTTCGAAATATTTTAAATGATAAAAAGTAGTAATACTTATACTGCGCAGTCATTTTGCGATTACGCATAGGTACATTTAATATTTCTATACATTAGTACGTATAGTATATACCCTCGGTTATTGTTATTATTTCGATATTTTCAGATAATTCACAAAAAAAAAAAAAAAATAAAAATTTAGTGATTAATCCGAAAATAAATAAGTAATTTTGTGATTGTTGTGGTTTCGATTTTCTGAAGCTTTCTTCAGTGTTTGCGGTAACACATCCGATAATAAGTTCTGGTCGCGAATAAATAACAATTATTATACAAAGTATTTAAAGAGTTTTAAAAAAAATAACTAAAATAATGAATATATATTTTCTTTTCTTTTTTTTTTTTTTTTTATTAACAAAAATTGGAGTTTAATCTTTGGTAGAAAATGGACATGGTATTATGGCGATAATAAGTGAGTGTCATTTGGGTAGAAAACAGAAATTCCCAGTTGTATAGCGATTATTTCCACTGGTAGCCACCATTGTATTACTCATTTTTACGTTGTATGTATTTGCATTAATAACAAAAAACCTATAAAATAAGATTGTATTTTTGTAATAATTATCTTCCCGATGAATGTTTACCATAAAAACAGTAGGGTTTCCTCACTAACAGGGCGTTTATTCAAGAGCAAAATGATCGCTTCAAGGCAAATCCTGTTATGCAATTGCGTAACAATGCTAGGTACATACAAAAATTACACACATTATATATCCAACTAAAACTTCATTTTTTTTTTTAACTTAAAATTTTTAAATTAGTTTTCGAGCCCCATAGAACATATAATATACCTACGTATAAGCTAAATATATGTAAGTGTTCTGAGTTATTGAACGTAAATATACCTTTAAAAACGATATTTAATATTTATCCGAACTATCAATTGATGTGTTTGAATGATTCATATAATATTGGTCAGATTGGACGCCTGTACATTAACTTTATTCTGTTATTATATTATTGTTCGATTGTTTCTGGATTTCCCAATTTGTTGACCAACTATCATTATTAAGAGTATAATGTATAATATATAGCTTTAATATATTATAGGTTCCAATAATAAAACATATTATGCAGTAAATATGCGTGTTATTTTTTAAACAAATAAATTTACTAAAATATAAGGTTTTATTAAATTATTTTTTATTGTTTATTTACTTTCACTAGTGTTCTGTATTCAAACACAAAGTAATTAATTTCTCTATATAATTCAATTTAATACTTTATATTAAATATTCTTGCTATGTTTACTTGAGTATTTAAAAGAAATTAAAGAAATTAAATTTTAGTATAAAGAAACCGTTTAGAAATTAAACAATAAAACAATTAACTTGTTATTTGTAAGGTTAAGAATTTCATAGTACAATTACTATTGTCTCGAGGTTAATGCTTTTTTACAGCGTTCTATGTAAATTATGTTAGTTTATTTTGGGATAAGAATTAATATTTATATTAAAATAATTTATTTGTTTGCCTTGACAAGATTTTTAAAATGAGTACTTTAAAAATGTCATCTGTTTTTTTAAGAGATTATTCAGTTATTCAATTCTTAAATTGTTAAATGTAATGATAAACTTTCATATTTCAAGTGTACTAAAGGAATGAAAACTTGAACTTATAAATAAAAACGTTTATAAGAAAATACTGTAAAATATGTATAGCTCAGGCGTGTTATTTATTATTACGTAGTATACAGGTGGGAAGAAGCTTAAGATAGCTGTTTGCAAGGAAAAATATAAAAGGACAGTAATAAGAGTGTGTGGAAAAGTTAGATAAGTGATGGCGATGTAGTTTGACGAAAGAGGATTATTTTGAAAAGAATAAATGTTTAAGTAAAATAGAAAATATAGACTAAGTATATAAAAAAAAAGTAAAGTTGAAAAAATAGGATAACTCTGTCTAACGAATAACGGAATATATTTATAACTTTTCATACTATACAGTAAAATTTTATTTCATATAATTTTTAGTTTTCAATTGGCAATGGAATTGAATTAAAAAGTAAGCTAGACAGAATGTATCTGCTGTTTTTTTACTGTTTTTTATTTTTAATATTTTCTCAATTATTACGAAGAGCAAATTAATTTTCCTATTTTTTTATTAAATACTGACCAGTACACATTTGATTTTAGAAAAAATTCCAAAATTGAGATTTAAATAACTAAAGACGCAATGAACCCAAAATGTGATGATAGATAAAAACATGAAAAAAAATCCATACACAAATCATTGTAAAACAAATATACATCTCCAACTCCGCTCAGACTCTAAAACAATTCGATTTTTATTAGTTTTCGATTTAAATTGTTTTTTAAATTTATTTGAAGAGTAACCAGGTTTGACTAAAAGGTGTTTTGCAAACATTAATAATTAGTAAAAATCTTAAAATATGTTTGTATTAGGTCATTTATGGAGGTGATTACTTTCGAATTTTCGAAAATATGCTAAGTTTATTATTTGTTACTTATAAAATTTTGGTAATATTTGAAATTGTATAAAAAGGTCTGATTAAGCACACATGCAACAAACGAGATTTTCTATAATTAAAAAAAAAAAAGTATTCAATGCGAAAAGATATACATGCGTTCTTTAAATCAAACTTAAATTTTCAAAACTTTAGCACACTGTACAATATTATTATTTCAATAAAAATATGGACACACTATACTATACATGATATTAAAACTAAATTTAAGATAGAATCCTGGGACGTGATAGTTCAACTAGCTGGATTCAAAAATAATGTCCAAAATACGTGCATTTAAAATGGTCGGAATGTCGCATATGGTGTACACATACGAGTATGTATATCCTAATAAATAATAAGAACGCTTCAAACTATAACATACGTAAATAAATTTTATGCCAAGTATCTCTAAAACTTAAACTTTGAGATAAATATTATGAATGGAAAAATAAACTTAAAGTTGAAAGTCTGGATAGAATTTTATAAAAAATTATCTCAAATTGATATATTCTGTAATTTAAATTAATCTTTTGAACATGAATTACTTAAGTTAAAATTATTAAACACTTATTTATGTGTCATATATAAACTACAGAAGATAAAATGAGTTGTCAAAATATAATAATCCTAATAAAAGTAGATTTGTCGTAAGAAATATGATAACTTAATACATTTTATGACAACCTATATAATCTAACTTTTATTCATACCACGAAATCAATTGTGTTTTATTTTTAAATTAAAACAGTAAATCAACGTATATATTATAAGTTACACCACACTTTAGATATTAAAAAAAAGTTTTTAAGTTTTTAAACGAATTTAGTTATACAATAACAAAAAGTTTGGTATTGGTGGGAAATAACAAAATTATAAATATTTTTAAAAATAAAGCCAAATATAAAAATTTATTTTTTGTATTTAATTGAGATTTCCTATTCTAAACCCGTATAAAAACTATTATACTATATTTCGTTTACCCTTATTTCATCTTATATTTTTAATTTATTGTGCTAGTTATACGACGTATATTTATTAAAATTAGTAATTACTGTTTGGTTCAATAGATTTAATTGATTTTACAGTCATGTTTTTTTTTTTTTGGCTGTTAAAACTTTTCATGTAGAAAGAGTGTTTTAAAGTTTCGTAATATATATTTCTATATTGATTGGAAATTCTACACAAATAGTATTTTAAGAAGGTAATTTTTGTAATTTTCTAGTGGTTTATCAGAAAACTACGATAAACTACTGTAAAACCACCGATACATGTTATTTTTCCAGATGTTCTTAAATTTATGATAGATATTTTATATTTTTTCCCCAGGAAAATTTATGGATAATATATATTTTTCAACATATTATGTTCATTATAGTTATATATAATATTTATAAAACTTTTGTATCCTGTAATCGATTTTTTGAATTAATAAATATTATTGTTTATCAGTTAAATGTTCTTGAAATAGTATAGTGTGTAATATTTCCGAGTGATGAAAATATATCGTATAAAATAATGAATTATTATTATGTATAATAAAATATACTATACCAACATTTGTGAATTATATACATTATAATAATAGAAACAAAACTAAAAATCTATTATTAAATTTCTTGTTTTCATCGTTTTTAACTTTTTCAATAATTTAAAAGTAACTAGTTCTAAGTTTTGACTTTATTCAAATGATATAGTTTCAATATTTAAAAGCAATTGAGTATAACTATGCATATTTTTAATCTTGAATAATGTCATGAATGTATAAAATTACAATGTTGTAAGTATACAATACTGTACGCTATGTTATTATTGAACACCTTCGTGTTGATAATTTATAGTCTTATTAAAGTCATCATATACAATGATATTATATTATTGTAAAGACATACCTAAATTATAAATTATTATTGAAAAATTTAATAGTAATTACTCACTTCGATGGCGATCTCGAAATCTTTCTTGTCAATAGTGCCGCTAGAGTTGACGTCTGAAACATACCCAAAAATAACGGTTAATAATCGTCCAATTACATTGGACAAGTGTTTGACAGTTATACGATAGGCTATAGACGTCATAATAAAAGATTTACGATGGAGAAAGATTTTCTATGTTGGGCATCACATTTGTGGAAACAGATGGAGGATACGAGCGTATGTGCTTGAAAAAAATTATTATTGACATTAGAAGAAAACGATTTTAAATTGTTTTCGTGATTTTTATTATCAGTAGAAGTTTATGATTACAAAGTATTATATTATAATCTACTATAAAATAAAAATTTTATTTACTATTATTTAGGTTGAAATAATTCCTTATTTAAATAACTTCAAAGTAATAAATTAGTGCAATGAATTCTATATTATGTATGGGTAAGCTCGTTACATTACAATTATACGCAATTAAACAGGTTAAAATTAAATATACGTATTAATTATTCAATTATGTTAGTTATATTACATTTAACGATATTTAACAATAATAAATTGTGTTTGCTAAACGAAATATCAATGGAAGCATTGAATAACCATAAATTTAATAATATCATGAAGGAAATTCTACCGAAAAGCAACAATATGCACCTGCTTTTAAAAATGTGGTATTTTAATATTTTCACTAATAATAAATAACGGTATTCGTAACTATAACATTGAAAATAGTGACGGACAAATACAACAGGTATATAAAATGTTTCATTTTATAGATTATGCATAGAAATATTATAGAAACATCATACTATTATATTAATAACTTATTAAATAACAAATATAATATCAATTTAATATTTTTTAATTTTAAAATAACCTTATATGATACCTACATGAGTATATATACATATATGTATTTAAAATACAATATTTATGCGAAATATATAGTCGTTTTAGTTAATCAGATTTTATAGTGAGAGTATTTACACTACAACAGCAAGATTTTATTTCTGACCCTACTGAATTGTATATTTAACCTATTTTAATCTCTCTTAGATCAATGTTTAAAAAAACTTTAAGAAAATTTACTGAGATACTTTTTGTATTATCTTAAAAATATTTTTTAATATAATAAAAAAAAAACACATCATTGAAAAATTGATTAGATTAATATATAGATAATATACAGTATTGTTTAAAATGCGTTTCAATTATTTAATATTTAATTTAAATCAGAGTTATTTCAGTCTAATGAAATTTTACAATAAATTGATAGTCAGTTTTTAATTAACCAACTGTACATGCGTACACGTAAACATTTAAATCTAATAATCATATTAGATTAACATGATAATTATATTTTGCTATTTAGAACTCATTTCGAAGATAAAACAAGACATGATAATTTATGACTAGGTAGTTATTATTATTAGTGGCAAAACTAATTAATGATTACTTAAAACCTTTATTACCAATGTAATAAATATGGCATATTTTATGAAATTTATAATAAATATTATTAAATTTTGTAGTTATTTTAATATTTATTTTTGTTCTTATTGAGGAATACGGTTTTATTTTTGAAATCTAGTGTCATTCTAATAAAATATGCATTTTTTTTTTTTTTTGAAACTAAACGCATAAAATTAGTAATATTGTATTGTAATTCACAGCTAAACTATGCTAGAAAATTTAAAACATTATAATATTTTGAACAAATATTTAAAATTATAATACTAGATCATTGATATATTTAATTTGTAAATATCAAAAATATTGATTATGAATCTTTTTTTTTTTAATATTAAAAAGCTAACACTTGAGATCGCCCGGTAAAAAAATATAACCTAACCAAACTCGTTTTTTGAAATCATAATGGTTTTATATACTTTAATACTTTACGGCAGAGTACAAGCTATTAGGTACACGGTCAGCTAAGTGAAATAAGAGTATAATACTATAGTATACACTCTCTATTCGTTTTTGATGGATAAATGTACTAGTTTTATTGCTTTTATGCATAAATTACTTTGCAAAATATAATAATAGATTTAAAGAAAATAATAATATGTATAATGTACATTGTACAGTATTAAACAGTTAATAAACTAAGTGCTAAACTTTGCTGATTAAATGTTATAACTTTTGTATGGCTTGTAATTTCTTGTAACAATTCTACGGAAAGTATTAAAGTTTGAGAAGCAACCTTTTAAATAATATGGTATTTTTTGGTGTTTTTAACTTTCTTTTATTCTGCCGATTTGCATTAATTATAAGCGTATACAAGAATATTGAAATTAAATTTACTATTCATAGTAAAAAAAAAAAAAAAATATTATACATAAAATAATATATTATCAGCGATTATCTATCAGTTAATAAAATAAGTATAGTATTTAATACATTAACAAAATGTATTTTTATGAAATCTTTTGTTTATGATTTTTGAATTATATATATATACATATTAAAAAATGTAATATAATGATAAAAATGTTTAAATATTTATACTCCATTGAATATGATTGATCGAATAAACATTGAAAACTGCTGTGTTTGCTAAATCAATAAATTTTTACTATATTATGATACTAAACAATTTCTATGTATTATTATTTTTAATACATTTAAAATAACATTTTTTTTTTATTTACTGTTCCTTTTACTTCATTTTCGTTCAAAACTGTTATCGGGTAACTGCGGGTTCTTTAAGACGGTGTAATTAATTAGCTAAGATAATAGAGTACATTTATTTTAAAATTAACATAATTTAATCACCAGACATCAAATAGCATACGCTATAATAATGTTAGTAAATATTGACTTTTTCTTCAGTAAATGCTGTTTAGCTACTGATAACGATAAATTCGTTAACCCAGTTCATTAATCTCTTTTTGTTAGATTTTCGTCTGTCTGCTTCCTCATGCGTTAGTACAAAATTTAGCCTTTTGTTGCAACTAGTATAATATAAGGCCATGAAATGAATCGGAGATATGACAACGGTCAAAAGTCAGTACTCGACCCGGCATGCAATTATCCTCATAAAATCCATTCAAGTGGTCGAACGACTACTACAAATAAAGGACGACAGAAATAATAATAATATAACTGAACTACTCTATTTTAGACAGAGTTGACCTGAGAATACGGCCAGTAGTGTTAAAAAAAAAAAAATAGTACTTGATCAAGTGTACAATCAATTAAAATAAGTGTTTTCAATACAACTCAAATACTTAAAACAGTGTACATAAAATGTTTTCAAATATAAAAAAAAATTTGTCACCATTATACATAATTGTTTTTTCATATCTGATTAAAATTAGACAGAGTTTTAAGTTTTAGATAGTTGCATTTTAAAAGAGGCAAAATCCTATATGGTATTGAACGTGGTTTATTTTTAGTTTAATTAATTTTCCTCAGAGTTGTTCTCTAGAGCTTTAAAAATTATTTAATTTACTCTAATATTAATGAATTGCACATAAATCATGGTGTAACCTATTTAGATTAGACCAAGGAAACAATATTATGATGAATGTAAACATCAGAGCTTTGATTAATAGTACGATATTAGTCGATATTATTTTTATATCCTTAAACTAAGTTATTTATAAATTAAAATATGAGATATTAAATACATTAAAATACAAAAAATAATTATTTAATGTGCATTAACATTTTTAAAATTTTGTATTTAAAACAAGTATTAAACACGTTTAGAGATAAAATTGTTTTAAAAAAGTTATCGAGTACAAGGGTACATAATTATGTAAATATTTTAAGTAGCTATATGCGAATACTTTTTAATATTAACTACTGAGAGATGCTAGGAAAAACTAGACAAGCCAACCAACGTCAATCCCCGATGTATTTTTGGTAAATGTTTTATATCCAACGTCGAAACAGTCTATCCCCAATCGACTAATTTCAGAGTGTACATATGACATTCACATGTCACTGGGTCATTACGAATACACTGTCGATTGGTTGAAGATACATAGAGACCGTCGTGACTTACCGGTGACTTCAGGATAATAAAGTGTGCTGCCTTGACAATTTCCTTAGTTTATATATGTTTTTTTAAAGGAATCGGAAGGATCCTCTTCAGACTGTAATTACATAATTCTGAACTTTCAGTCATTATCTTGGTTGAATTTATCAATGTTATGAGCTACGGAGATTATGCAATAACTTGGATAATTATAGTTTTGGATTATTAGGTGACTTTATGCCTTTTTAAAATATTTTATAAAGTTAATTGTCTTGTTTGTATGGTGTTCATAAAGTTTTTAGATAATATGCATGCAATAAATGTATAAAAAGTTAATCTTTTATAAATTAGTATATAAAAGTGATGAATAGTTATCCTGCAATAAATTAAAAAGTTTTCTTCATACCCACTACATTGGTAATCTCAAAATCTGTTATTAAATATAAAGTTCTTATTTTATTATTATGTTAAATATCTTATAAGTTTTAAAACGAAATAGAAAAAAAAATCATTTAAAGCTTTTCAAAATTATCAAGCGTAAACTCCATACTTTTAGGTACACTTGGGAATATGGATTAAATTGGCAGTGTATATTTTGCTAATAACAAATACTGCAAATAAACAGGCAGATAAATACATCTCTAGGGAAAGTTTCAGTTTTATAAATCTTAGACTAACGCTTTAGAATTTATACATAAATTATATCATTTGGTTTTACATAAGGTGATTTTACAGGCTTTTCTTGTTTTCTGTTCAACATTAAATATATCCAGTAATACTATACATTTAGCATTACTACAGAAAATTTTTTGTTGGAAATATTTTTAAAGTTCTTAACTTAGCTTATTGCAAAACATAAAAAAATATAAGACTAATTATTTTTTATTTATAAGACTATAATTTTTGTAATTTGCAGATTAAATTATAGATATCATTATGGTATTTGAAAAGCAGTTTTTATTTTTGTTATTAACATTAAAATAATATTTTTTTTAATCAAAAATTTTACACAGTATTATATGCAGGAGAGATTACATTTAGAATAATGTAAATAACGAATCGATATTAAATACCTAAATATAAAAACGAATTAACAATAGTATTCAAATAATATTGTACTTTTCGTTCAAATGCAATATTTATTTTAATATACAAGCAAAATACAGATTCAGTATAATATTAAACTATACTATTTGAGAAACCCGTTTACATAAATCTTTGGATGAATGGTTTTTTGAGTAGGTATTAGATTATCATATAATATTATACCGTAAGAAAGCAGCTTTTAATACGAGGTGAATTCGGAATAATTATTATACTCTATTCGAAAAGTTTATAAAGGAGTTTTCATTACTTTTTAGTAATTATTGGTTGTTAATAATTGATAAATGAATGTTCATTCGTTTTAAGAGTAATTAACTTATAATAATCATAATATTATGTATTTCGTATACTCGAAGTTAATGTTTGCATTTTATTAAGTATGTATTATTAAATGTTGAAACCATTACACCTATATAATTATATGTTAGTTTGAAATTGTTAGTGAAAATATGTTAGTTAGATAACTATAATAAGGCGCATATAAAACATAAGCCAATATTTATTATTCAAGTTTCGTAAATGCTCGTACATTAAAATGTATACTATGCACAAGCAGTATTTAATTGGTGCGTAAAGTTTATAATGTTTGAAATAACTTCCTTGGGTTTTAAGCTAAATTTAAACAACATATTTATTGGTATTTACATATTTTTTTTTTTTTTAGTTTATCAATCTGAAGATTGGTTTTTATATATTTAAGTTTTTCAATTAAATTTTATCAATAACTTTTTCTATTTATAAATTTAATAAATGCATTTTCTTTATTATTTCGTGTAAGTCAATAACTATATAAATAAAAAATTATTTTTCTGTTTTATTTATTTGTTTGACGATTTTGTTGGAAGGAGTGTATGAGCTTGATTAGTAAATCACCCTAAATACATATTAAAATATAAAAATTCAAATCGTGTATCTGACATAATTTTTAATTTAGCTTATTTATTTTATCTCCAAGGTACCATAAACTAGAATTAATTTATTTCACGTGCTCGTACAATATAATATTATATTTTATAATTTTTTAATTTTAAATTCAAAATACTAAAGTAAGTATCTGTTGTAATTTAATTTTAGAACTATATCCATAAAGTTTTACAGATAATGGCATATTATATATTAAGATAGAAAGTATTACTGTATTGGAGGAAGTTTGTGTTATTTGATTATCTCTTATACCGAATGTTTTGAATAAATTACAGTTTTAAGTTTTTGATACAATAAATCTGTACTTATAATTTTGAGTGAAAATTCCTTAGTAAAAACATATCGGAATTTCATTATATCGATATTTTTTAGGGATTATTATGGTTTGTATAAATAGTTACTTATTTATTATCTAAATCGAGTTTCACAAAGTTAGTTAAGAAATTATACTATAAATACATATAAGTAGTGACATTTAATATAGCTTTTAGTAAATATATAAAATAGTTTTATACCTGCAAATAATATTTATATTTTATTGGGTAATTTGTTTACTTTGTATTGTAAATTTTTTCTAACAATTTCGCATAATATTTTTATTAAATAAATCATTGTAAACATTTTGCAGTACATTTTTATCAATTACCTTTGTAATATACAAGATACTACATAATTTAAGTTCCAATTTTTTTTTTATATATGTACACAAAATATAATATTTTCTATAGCATAGAATATTTTGCTCTTCCACAAGTCTATTTAAATTTAATCCTGTTTTTACTGCTATTATCGTATTATTCATTTTGTATATTATTAAGGTAAAAAAAAGGTAGGCTATGTTTTTTTTTTTTTAAGCTGTAACTTTTTTTTTTATTTAAATATAATTTAATATTACCTGGACACGAAGTACCCTTTATTTAACCAAAAACCTAAATTTTTAAGCCATTGAAATATTTAAACTTAAAACAATATTTTTAGACTGGTCTATAATTTATTATTTTAAATTTTTCTTCGGATAATAATTTTATTTATAAATAATAAAAATATGAAATATAAAATTAATATATTAAAAATTAAAATATGTAGATATGCATAAAATAATAATTGCGTTAAACATGTAATTGAGTAATTACGTGTAGACTAGTGTAAATACATTTAATTATATCTGTATCTATTCTATTTTAATCACGTACTACGTATACGTATTATATGAGTTCAAAACGTTATTATTTGTTTTTTTTTTCAACTACGACTAGTTAAAAGTTGTTTATACATAAACAGTAACCATTAATTTATTAGTTTTAAAAATAAGATAAAAAATAATACGTATTAAGTTTAGTTGAAACTTGAAACTCAAAACTTGAAGGGTTTATACGTTCCAAGCCACTAGATAGATTAAAACAAAGATCAATACACACCGCAGTACTTTATAAGTAAATAATAAGTTATATTATTTATATATATATATATATATATATATAGTACAGTTCTTTACAACGCATACTTTTATTAGTGAGGAATAGGTAAATATTACACTAATTATAATTATTCAAAACTAACCATAGATAAAATTAAGCACATTCATCTAATAGATTTATCATTATAAAAATATTATTAATTTTTTTCTATGCTTTTTTATTGTGCAATATTTAAATTTACTAATAATGTTATGTATTATGAGTGGGGAAAATGTTTGTCTAGTCAACAGAATTAAAGTATAATATATAATTTATGAGCAGTGATAACTTTACATTCAGCTTATTATATTAAAGATTAATATCACGAGTAGGGAATCCAAATTTAACTCGATATGTGAAAATAAAAGGTAATACGAGTTCTTAAAAATTTTTGAAAGAAAAACAAGAGTTAAATTATATCTAAATATAACACATAAAGTTTGCAATTAAGCATTTATGCTAGCGTAGTTGAGTAGTTTAGAATCTTTATCATTTAAACTCATAGTTATAGGTTATAAGTGATTGCCAAGATGAATAAAATTTAATAAAATATTAGTAGTATAAACTTAAAAAATTATGATTTTTAGATGTCAATTTTTTAAATAGTTTATTGATAATCTGTGTATGTGTTTTGTAAGAATTATTAAGATGCATTTAATATGAATACATGTTAAATATCGATTTTGTGCATAGATTCTACATACTTTTATGTCTTTATGTTATCAAAATGTTTTGATTGACTTTTATTTTGACTATTACTAGTAATGTCAATACGAATTTTGTTTTTTAAGGTATGTTTTTTATAACACGAATTTGACAAGACGAAAATAAAATAAAACATATTTTTTGTATATAATGTATTATTAAAAATATGTGTTGGAAATAATGGTTCATTATTTTCAATTTAAGGTTAAAATTTTACACATGGCTCACTAAAAAATGAATAATAAACAATTTTTAATATTTTTTAGTAAACTTATAAGTAGTTTGAAAAATAAACTATTTTATTCTATTTTAGATACTAGATTATGAAAAATAATGGTATAAATATTAGAGTTTATAATAATATGTAAAAACAATAAACATATTTACCGAAGAAGACATTGAAGACATACATGAGCTTGTTCTTTCTGAATTGTGAAATTGAAGACATTATTGTTTGCTTTTTGGAGTTTTTCTTGGATTTTAATCTAAAATAATAAAACATAGTATTTAAGAAGAGAATTTTTATATTATTCATTAACGCGGCAAAGATTATTAGAAAAGATAGAGGAAGCAGTTGATATTTTTTGTATAGAAAATATGCTTTTTTTTAGTGTACTAAATTAATATAATATTATCAATATTATTTGTTAAATGTAAAATTATTATTTGGTTATAAGATATTTGCAGAATTGTAAAACTTGATTTTTTTAGTATCTTTATATCTTATGAATCTTTCTATATATTAAATTATAAAAATAAGTCCTATAATCGATGTAAGCAGTCTATTATAATTTCTTCGTATTATTAATATGATTGAAAACAATGTCATTCATTTGAACATTAAGTCTATTCTTTGTCTAATCATTTGACAGTCATAAAGTTAACAGGTGTTTATATTACCGACTGATATATATTATACTATACATAGAAAAATACAACTAAATTATAAAAACTAAAGTCTGTATTTTGTTTTGGTACTTAATCACTTTGGTTTTGGTCTGAAGATGATACTGATGCTTCATTTTGCTCATTTTTTCAAATTATATACAGTTATTATACACATTTAATATAACTTTTACAGACCTCGTTTAAATATTCCACAAAAATCATATGAAACACCTGCCAAACTAAATGAGTTTTATCACTTCCCAAAATTCGCTTTGAGGTATAAGAATGTATTGCCCATATTTACTGAATTGGAAATATTCAGAAATCTCGCAGTATACTTATACCATTTACGCTCTTTATAAAACTTTCTCCTAAATCATTTATTTCCAACTCGTAATTTAATAACCCATTGTAAAAATTAGCATGTAACTAAATTTCTGAGTTAAAAAATTCAATAAAAATGAAATTTTTAATTGTTTAAACTATTTTACTTAAAAAAAATAATAACCAAATCATTCATTAACATGAGCATAATATTAATCATTTATAAATAAACGTAATTATGATAAATAACGAAAATATTTATTACTGGTATATTAAAAAAATTAGTATTTTACAGAAAATTTAATATTATAAATATTATTGAAGTCTGAAAACATGATTTACTAATTCGTTTAAAAATTTCAACAGTGTGAAAATTTCTAGCGACAATGGTGCAAATAGTTTATATTGTATTTCATATCACACACGCTCAAAACTTTTGGTAGTTAATACAAAATTCATTAATAGTACTTTGTCATCTAAACACAAAAAAGTTCCCAAAAGGTTGTGAGGTAGTATTTTTGAATTTTAAATTTCACGACAGCCGGATGCGAAGCCTTCACTTCCGAATTCCGTTTAGCTCTAGGGTACGTATTTGAACATCCGGTATGCAAAATTCGTCAGGAAACAATCTTTCGACCTCCAGTATAACAAAAATGTCATTGTGTATTTCGTTAGATAATATATTTATATATATATATATATATTAATAAAAAATATTCACCCTTCACGCTGTATGATAGATTCATTGTGGTTATTCATCTGGTAGTACAAGTTTGAAAAATAGCATGTCGAAAGGCTCTATAATAATATTAGCATTTTTAAGAGATTTAGTGACTTTTATAACGCTGCCGTGGATGAAAGGTAAAATGAAATATTATTAAAATGTTTGACAAGTATATACGGTGTCAGTAAAATATTCGATATTTAGATAGTTTCATCATAATGATGTAAAAATCTTAAGTTGATTTTATTCTTGCTTAAAATTATTAAATTATTAATAAAAAATATAATGTACTATAATTATATAATCAATAGAACAGGATTGCCCGAATTGGGGCACAAGGTAAAATTTATAAATATAAATTCTATGATTTTGTAATACAATTTTGAATATAAGTGTATAATATATTATGGTAAAAATTATATAAATATCATAGTATTAAATAACCTTATAATGATAAGTATACATGAAAAAAGTATTTGACACTCACAAATTTTAAAGCAAGATTCTAAATAATATGGAATTCTATCAACTGATAAGTTGGAATAATTTTATTTTTTCAAAATAGTTGTAATAATCTAACCCTTTAACTAATAATGGTAATGAAATAATAATAATAATAATAAATAGTTTTCATTAGATATAAATGAAATATTTTTTTATTTTTTTTTATCGAGTTGTTTAGTAAATAGTGTTGATATTACATTTAATTAATAACAAGCTATATTTATTAATTATAATTTTCTTTATATTGAAAAAAAATATAGTAAATATGAATTTTTTTGAAGAAATTGTAAGAGGATTTTATATATTTGGCACAGAGAGTGAGGAAAATGTTTGCAGATGATCCCGACTTAGAAAAAATATTAAGTAATATCACAATTATTTTATGTATAATATGTATAAATATATTCATAACTAAATAAAATTATTTTATTTTAATTTTTTTCTTGAATTTTGTCTTAACTCAAATAATAAATTATTAATTTATAAATATTTTTCTACATAGTCGTACGATGCAAGTACTTTTACTTTGATAAGATCTATAATTCAATTGGAAAATTTTTTATGATACTCCTGTACATGTTAATGACATAATTTTATTTTAAAGAAAATTATTTATGGGTATTGAAAATTAATTTTTAATACTAGTCACCATTAAACATTATACTCTAAGTATTGATGAAAGTTTTAATTAATTGAGTTATAAAATTTATTTTCTTAAATAGGTATGTATATAACATAGTTGAGTTCCAGGATCAAGTTCAAATATATGTATTTCCATTACATTTCTACAATAAATTATTTAATTAAACATAAGTCATCAATAATAGGTAATAAATTATTTTCGAATTAATTGAAATAAAAAAAAAAATGTATTCTTTATAAGTTATATGATGTTAAAATAATGCATTATGAAAATATTATGTAAGCAAAAATAATACACTATATACTTTTATTTTATACTTAGCCTAGCTTATAATAATATATTTGTAAAGTTAAAATTTATGAGTCTTATGTCTAAAATTTTTTTTATCACAGTCAACAATATTACTATTTCGGATATAATTTACTACCCGAAAAAAGCACAATAACTGTCCAACTCTAAAATAAAGTATATCCGTTTTGTTCGGGTAATATTCATTTTTCGTGCTTCAATCGCAAGATTCCTCACTTATCTCGTTCGTTGTTTCTCTCGATAACACCCTGTACATGTTTGAGTAAGGTCTAAATAAATAATGAATAATCAGGGGTTTTTCGCCCTACCGAATATCATTGAGCTCGTCACGTAAGTCCTTGTTTTTGTACAAATTCAATAACCCCGTTCACCTTTCATACAATACATACCTATGTGTGTGTTGGTTGTACAAAACATTTTCGGAATATAAATTTTAGTGGGGAAATAATTTAAACACGTTTTATATGTTGATTTACAAAATTAATTATATTGTCATTTTGATATTAAATACATGTATACATTCGCTTATTCCTATATGAGAAAATAATGGCAATTTGAACATAATTTTATGCAACCTACCTATATTAATCATAAAATGTTTTTAATATTTACAATAATACGTAGATAAAGGTACATAAATTACCCATAGCTATAATTAAATGTTGAGGAATTATTTTACAAAATTACGATACTTGCAGATATTCAGACAAAATATTATATAACATATATTTTTTATACCCAAATATTTATGACATATAATTATTATATTTGTAAAGAATTAATTTATTAATATAAACGTATAATTTATCAATTATTTGATAAACGTATAATCGTATAAGCTATGTAAACATTATAAAATTTTTGTTGGTAGAAAGAATACGAAACTACAATAAAAATATAATTTTAATAGCATAGGTTATACGATTTATACATTACAATAGACAATATTTTTATTGGAGTTAGAATTCACTTAAATGCTTGTGATAAATTATGACTTGGGCTAGGGACTTCATGCTCCAAAAAAATCTTAAAATATGCATGTATTTATGCACTTGAAAATTATTATATATGTTCTAAAAATATGCAAAAATGCTAAAATATACTCTAAAAGATATTTTATTTTTCATTAAAAAATAATTTATTATTATTGTAATTATTATTTATTTGTTATTTAAAAAGGCGTTTTGAATTTAATTTTCACAATAAAAAAAAAACTGTATTAATCTAAAATATTTTACTAACTATATTAACACCAGATGAAAACACATACAATACTAATAAACAATTTGACATCTACTGACCGTATGGCGTATTCGGCTTATTCCTTATCGACTGATTATTTTTCATAATACACAAATAATTGGGAAAAAACACCGTGAATAAATTTAATTATTTATATTAAATCATTTTAATGCACTTTTCAATTTTTAGAAAATTAATATTAAATATTGTATATTGTATACTACGTACAAAATATTATTTTCTTTAAAATTTGAATTAAGTACTTAAAAAACAAATATAACAAAATATGCACTTCAAAGAAAAAAGAGCTGAATATGTTAAACAAAAATTATTGTTTTTAACTTCTAGTGCTAAAAAATACATTTCTGTATTACTGAGCTATGTTTTTAATTAAAATTAAAAAACATGCAAACTTCTATAAGTCCCTGACCTTAATTATGACCTATGATCAATACGTTAATTTTTGTAAAATAAATGAAAAAAAAAAAGATTTGATATTTTTAGCTCTTTGATAGCACAAGTATATATTTTTTTTTAAATAAAAGATATATCGTAAAAATATTTATTTTTAATAAATTTAAAATGTTTACCATCCATTTTATAACACTTTTATACATCATATTATCGTGGATCACGATAAATTTAAAATACGAAACGATTATCTAGGCATTTTTATTTTTGTATAATTTAAATAATTGACTTAAATAATATATTATATTAACACCCTGTTGTTATATAATAAACTTAATAATTAAATTTCATAAAAAAAAAAATAAATACTTTGTGTACTATAGTACATATACTATGTTTATAGTATTATTATTTATTATATACACATTTTGAACTAAAAT